CCTGCTTTTAAACTGCTAAAATGAAGCCTAAAATGATAAAAGCATTGAAACCCCATATGGAGTTCAGGAATTCTGCAAGCCCAGTAATGTCCAAGTGCGTTTATGAAAAAAGAAAACTAAGAGACTCGAGTATATACACAATAGTGATTCTTCAGCCCAATACAAATGGCAGCCAATCGCTACTGAAGGATGAAACATTAAGCCAATTTCGTTTTGAAGGATGTACAGCTATAGCCAATTCTATGTTTCCAATATTCTCAATCCCTCCTCACTTGTCTACTTCCACTGTTGCCCATAAGTATCCTGATAAAATTCCTGGTTGTCATTATTGTAACCATAGTTACCGGCATAGTCACCACCTTGCTGGAGCGGCTGCTGAGCGATGGGTTGGGAGCCCCAGTTCTGCTGGTTGTTGGTCTGACGGCGCTTGGAATCAGGCTGGTTGTACCCATCTGCCTTTCTCTTGCCTCCTACGTTGCCCCCACGGTTGCCCCTGGCTCCACGAGCACCACGTCCTCTCTGCTGCTGCGCAGGACCCCCTCTCCCACCCCTGGCTCCTCTCGGCGGTCCCATGGGTGCCCCCCTCTGTGAATAGCCAGCTCTACCTCTTGGTGGTGGTGCTCCCCGCCCCCTAGGTGGTGGAGGGGCACCTCTCCCACCCCTTCCTCCTCCTCCTCTTCCTCTTATAGCATAGCCATCATCATAGCCGTAATAGGGATCTTCATAGCCACCACGGTAGTCATGATAGTCATAACCGTAATAATCATCGTAATAATCTTCATAGCCATAGTAATCTGGGGGATAGCCATATCCACCTCTCCCTCCACGGCCTCTGCCTCTAATAGGAGGTGGCATGCGAGGTGGAGGGTAGTAATAATAGTCTTCGTACCTATTAAGAAAGAGAAACACGCAATTATTTATCTTCAAAAGTCTCCCAAACAAAGCATCAGTTTCCCCTTGGTGACTAACAACAATACACACCACGGAGAAAAGCAAAGTCATACAGGTCCTTCTAAACCAGCCCGTATTGCACAGCAGCACTGCGTGCCGCAGGATGACAGAAGTGCAAGAATGAACACTCACGCAGTACTTCTGGAGGCCTGTCTGGCAGCCTGACGTTCTTTCCTTTTCTTATCCGGTGGCTTTGCTAACACTATTTCAATTTCTTCCCCTTCTATCTCTTTCCCATTCATTTCATTCATAGCCTGTACAAAAATTAAAGAGAAATATCTAAAAATTTGTTTCCATTCAAAAGGAAACTCAAACTTACTGAAAGAAACCAGATGGCTGGGCTGCTCCGGGCGGAACCATGCCGTGCGCTCCTTCCTTTCTGCGCTACTTACACAGAACCTTACACTTTAGTCTTTCAAGTCCCACTTTATTCCCCAGTTACAGTGAAGCAGCATTTAAAAATATTCTCTTTCTATCATAAGGTAAAAGAACGGGATTAAACATACTGAGCATTATTTTAAAATAAATCAGACGTAACGCCATCACTTTTTATGTTCCTGTACCCCCGGGAACGTTCTGGAAACACGCTGGCAGCAGCTCTCGCTACTCACAGGCACCAGCACTCGCAGTACTTGGAAGCCAGGTAGAGCGCACGCACGCTAGAGGGAAAGGGGATTTTTGTATTTGGGCTTCCCAGCTAGTTGAACACGCTACATGAGTGCCTCTGCGGAAATCAAGTGTTTCTGAAGACACATACTCAAGGGGAAAAAAAATTTACTGAAACTTGGTGATCTCTTGAAGAATCCTCCTGAAAAGTAATGTGTAACTTGTAACAGTCACACGCATGCACAAAGATAACTTAAATACATACACAAGGTGTGATTAGGACCACACCTCCCAGTTCTTCACCTGGAGGTATCTGCTTTGCATTTAACATTTCTGGGTATTAATATTTGCACTAGCAAAGACTTTACATATCTCTACAGCTACATGCCTCAAACCCACGAGAGATCACAGCAATTTATTTCAGAGAAGGTATGAAAGTAAGTAGACACTGGAGCCAACGAGCCGTTTCCATGCATTCCACAGATTAAAAGCCAAACACCACACCCATACCCAAAATATCTCAAAGATCAATAAATTGATTTAGTGGCCATAGAGCAGTCACACAGCGCAGATGTGCAGCATTCCAGCGTGTTTCAGAGAAGATAAGCATTAGAGATGCTTTGCTCTTTGATCTCTCTCTTCTCATCTGCTGCAAGTTTTCAGTTGCTCAAATCTAACAGAGCACCTAGAAGTGAGGTCTACTGGGAAGGGACTGGAGAGCGTTCAAAGACATACTACAACAAAACACGTCAAGGGGCGTTGCTGACTTACCCTCTCTCTTGGACGTGGTCTAAACCTACCCAAACTGACTTCAACCTCATTAAATATGAGTGACATTCACCCTAAGGCCAAACTCAAAGAGTTTTCTGAACACTATTTTGGTGGGTAGGAAAATTGTAACTGATTAAGTGGTTACAAAATGATTAATGAGGTTGAGTAAAGCGCCTCTGAACGGTCTAGTAGCCACGTACATATGCTCACTCAACACTCGCGGGTGCAAAACACTTCCTCCCCTCCCCTCCTCTCCTCCTTCCCCCCATAAACTATGGATTTGAGAAGCAGATGGAGTCATTTCTATAGAATTCAGTCCTCTGAAGCACAAACAGCAGAGACTAGTGACCTCAGCTGCTCTTATACAAAGCAAGAAACCTTTGAAGCTCACAGTAATGACTGCCAACATTTCAGAAGTCATTTAGGAGAAACCTTCTAGAGAGCATGTGGAGTTACAAACAGGCAACGCATTAAGGGAGGCAGCACCGTTCTTCTCCCCTTCACAAGGCATTTTTTTCATTACCTTGCAATCTCTAGTCAACACTTCTGTCACTCCAGAACCACACACAGCCTTTAAACAGGGGTCTCAGACAACGGATACCTTCTGCCAGTGTTTCCTCAGAAAAATTGTCTAGGTTGGTCTTTTTTTTTTTCCTCTTCTCTAGACTCTCCTGCATTGGTCTACACCTCTTTTCCAGTCTACTTGTTAACTCGCTACAGTTTTGTCCTTTGCAAGTTTCACATCCTCCTAGCTACTGAAATCATAGGAACAAAATTATTAGTGTCAAAATTCTCACAATGGGAACCTTATTAAATGGGCTCTACAAATGGTCTTATCTAGATATTCACTGTAAAGAAATTTCTTAATGCCATTTGTACAAAATAAAATGCTCACATCACTTTAGCTAGGAAAGAATAATCAACCTACCTTCACTGCTGCACCTCTGTCCTCAAAATGAACAAAAGCATAATCCTTCAACTTCTTCACTAAAAAAAGCTTTCCAAATTCAGAAAAGGATTTCTCAAGAATTTCTTCTGTCACAGTAGTGGCCAAGTTTCTTACAAATAAAACTTTCACCTGGTGAAAAAAATGACAATGAAAGCCGTAATCTTTACAAGTTAAATCTCAAAGGAAACCAATGCAAACTAGTAAGACATTATTCCCTTCTCTGCATTAAGAAATTTTGGGTAACCTTGCAAATTCTGTACCTGTTTCAAAAAAAAAAAAACAAACAACCAAACAAACAAAAAACCTTGTAGTTACCTGTACAAAGTTTCCACAACTTCTCTCCTTCCAGCTCCTGTCCATGACCAGAAGAATATCCAACTTTGATTTTGTGCTTCTGGGATGTTACAAATCCCAGTACAATTTTAGTAATAGACCTCAAGAGCACCAGAAAGTTATCCCAAACCACAGGGATAAAGAGCAAGTCATTCCCTACGCTGAACTTCAGCTTCATCTCACTCTGGAAAACAGTTTTACAAAAGACCCACCTAGAATTCATGATCAGCAGCAGCAGATACATGAGCAGACCGATACGCCAATCCAGCAGGGTAACCCTGCACACCGCTAGTCTGAACGCGAACAGCAGGTTACAACAGCACGCTCCTAACGGATCCGCAGCGCTCAGACCGCGCCACTTCGCACGGCTTACTGGGAAAGCACCCTCTGCTCTCCGTGCGGGCTGGAACCAGCCTGACACGATGGCACAGAGAAATCCCTCCCGAAGCACAAGGGCATCCAGTTCAGTTGTTACGTACCTTCGCCATGACTTCTGGATCAGGTTCCTCTACTGGGTCAGCCCATTCCACCGTCACAACATTTCCCCAGACTTTTACTTTCCCACTCATCAAGCGGCGGCGAGCTTGTGCTGCTGACTTGTGATCCTCGTATTCCAAGAAACAGAATCCTCGATTCTTCTTTTTATCATCAGGTTGATGATACAAGATTACATCCACCAAACCCTCTGAAAAACAGGTCTTTAGTATTAAGCTTCAAAAGGAAAGAAAAAAAAAAATACTACTCTAGATTCCACACTAAAACGCCTTCACTTGTTTGGTTTTTAATACACCAGCTTTGAATTTAACACCTGAAAGGGGGAGGGAGCAAAGAAAAGCAAAACAAACAACAGAAATCCATCCAATTTACCCAGGAACACGTCACCGAGCAGGTGAAGTTCTCCAGAACAAACTTACCTCACAATTAGGCCCTGCAAAACATCAACCTCAACAGTTCACACGGTGTAAGTTTTCTATATTTTGTTTTACCATTTTCACACTTTTGAAAAGCAGTCAGCGTTAATACACGTCACCTTCCCTGCCTCCAGGGGAAGCTGGAAAGAATTTCTATCACATCCCTCCAAGAAGAGGAGAGATAACTAAATGAATATTCACCTTCTGTTTTCACCACTTCCCTGAAGTACTTATAAATAGCAACCCTAAAAAAGAAGCAGTAGGTTAAAAAAAATCTCCTACAGGAACAGGAATAGGTGACCAAGACCTCGACCTCTTATTTAAAAGAGAGGCATCCTTCCAGTGATGGGATGACTTCTTTTCTTCGTACTTGCTGCATGTACTGGGGAACAACACTGAAGAACTGGGAGAGAAATTAATCTGTCATTAACTATTTCTACAATAACACTCCCTCTAAACTGATTTAGTATCCCCTCCTCCCCGTCATTCTTCAACAATACATTTGCCTGAGGCTCCCCAAAAACTTTGCAGCTGTGCAAGCAGAACCTACTGTAGATCCAGTTACAAATACAAAGCCTTCTCAACAGGAAGCTAGGACAGGTAATGGAATTGGGACCTGCACTTTTTTTCTGCATTCATTTGTGCTGCTTCCATCTCAAATTGTAAACCTACAACATCATTCATTTAACTAGCAGTAAAAGAAACACTAGTCCCTTTACACTCCACAATAAAATAGATTTGATATATAAGTTTTCTACCAGAAATAAACTACTCTTAATCCAATTTGGAAGCAGTTTTAACGACAGTCGAACTCATCTGTCAAATAACTAGACCTACAAAACAGAGGCTGAAGGGTCTTCGGGGATCAGCATGAAAACCTCGTTAAGAAGGTCTTACCTGTGACTTTATTGAACTCTTCCAATATGTTCTCCTTAGTCTTGTTCTTTGGAATTGACCCAACAAATAACCTGTTGTTTGCCACAGAAATGCATACTCCAAGGTGCTTCCCAGGACGGATTTCATAGTTGTCACACTGAGAAAATAAAAAGCCATTCATTTACTTTACCCACAATAATATGGACAAAAAGATCCCCAAAATCAAAACCAGCTATTTCCTTCATGACCTACTATTTTAATACATAGCATATTGAATTCACATTGCAAGAGAATGACCAGAACTGCATATTTGGGTCAGCATTGGAAGAACACTGCCGAGCTCAGGCTTCCCACAGAAACTTCGGAAGTTCTGCTGAATGGAAAGCTACAGAAAACCAAGATGTACAAGGAACAACACCTAACAGATACAAACTGCATGGGGTGAAGTCATTCACCTGCTCTTTATTTCAAACTTGAAAGACCTTCCTAGACAACTGGTGGCTGTTTCCTGTGCTGGGACTCAATGTCAGCCACTGCTGCTGCTAGTAAGTAAATACACAGCACTGTAGGTACTGCAAGTCCTTCCACTTCACTCCGATTGCTTTTAAACACTGAGCATATTTGCTGCAAGATACTCAAAAGTCTAAATCAGTGTGTGACCACATTCCCCTCCCCCTATCCTCACAGCAGGGATTTTTTGGGCCTTGTAAATGCTGGGACTCTATAAATTTTACTGTTAAGTTTTAAAACCTCCCATTAAAAAAAAATTTAGCCCACGGCTTCATATTTGTGCCCACAGTTGGATTACTCTGAACACCAACACTCCTGACAGGACTTAAAAAAAAAAAAAGGTAAGAATTGAAGATAGACACCATCACTGTTTTAGGCAGGACTTTCAAACACAACCTAAGAGGATGGACGTTTGATCACCAGCCAGCTTCTGAAAATCGCGCCCAATTCAGTTTTACCCTAGCTGAGACACAGCCATACAGAGACAGAGCACCTTCAGTAACTTTCCTCACTTTACAGAATAACTAGAACAACGTTACAGCACCACAGGCCATCAAACACTATCACTTTAAGGAAGACAAAAACATTTCACAATTTTGCTTCACATACAACAGTGATTCGTAACACCGTAAGACTTTGTGTTCCAGTGCCATGAACTTAATCTGAATCTGCTTTTCAAACTATATCTTTTACTTACAAAGCCATTTTACCTACAATCAACCCCATTCCCACTGGTACCTGCAAACACAGAAGGCTCACTGGTGCAGAGGAACTAAGACTTCAAAATTTCAAGTTTATTTTCTAAAAGAACCTCACTTTGCTATCATCGTTTAATCAGCTCCAAAATCTAGCATGTCTGCCTGATTTCCCTTTCTCCCAGTAGTCTGTGGAAAACACTTCACCTAAATAAAAGTCTGACCCCATGACTGGATAATGGTAGGGTGGAGGAGGTAGGGGGAAGGGAATCCAGATACAGGACTTAAGGAATATATTCACACGAGTTCACTTATTTGGTGCAATATCCGGAGTACGGAGGCCAGTCTTCCATCAGTGGCACATCGCTTTCTACACCTCCTGTCACTTCAGCATCTTCCCTTCCAGCTCCCTCAATCAGTATAAATTTTAAGTAACGACTGAGCACCTTCAACTTGGTCCAAAAAAAAGTTTCAAAACAGTTTTTCCTTCACAAGTGACAGTAACTCATATCCACCACCTTCAAACACTGAAACTCAGGAGCAATCAACTGCAAAAATACATTTTGTGTATTTCCTTCAGGAACCATCCAACCAGCCTAAGCAGGGACATGCAATTCCCAGTCCTGGAAGAGCCTAACGTAACAGTCACAACTATCTCTAAACACATTAAAATGTTTGAGGGAACAAACACCAGAACATTTAGAGGCAACAACTCTCTGAAGCCTTTACAAAAGCAACAGAAGCACTTTTGAAGTTTCTCTAGGTTTCTTTTCCCCCCAGCTTAACTAGATCTTTAGGTTTCCTCCCTTCTTCATAGAGGGTCAGCTGAACGCTGCTAAGGCCAACGACATAAAGCATTTCACCTGTCTGGTTCAGAGTACAAGCAGTGCTTCACAGCCATATCCAAAACCTTGTGAAATACACACTGATCTGCCCAATTCTACTACTTCTCAGGCAGAGAGAAAGCCTAACGAGCGAGGGCCCCAGTCAGACTGCTGGCTCTCACTGGAACTCTCCAGGGACGGCTCTGAGTCCTTTGTCCCAACCCCCAGGCGCAGGCCAAGGCAGGCTTCCACGCAGCGAGCCGACTGCAGGACTGCCATGGGGAAGAACTAAAGGCCACTGTGAACCACAGAGAGCACCAAGTCAGAGACCTCCACAGCAGCAGCAAAACAAAAAGCACCTCTGACCAGCTCTTTATGGTAGGAAGGGTGAGAACACTTAAACACGGTGGAGCTTAAAGAATATATGTTCCAGCGGTGATCAAGGAAGCTCTTACTATCATCAGCCAAGTGCTCCAGCAGACTGCAGAAGGCTGCACCCCACTTCGGTCCTAAGAGCAGACCGTTATTTGTATCTACTAAATGAAATCAGGAGGCAATTTTTAAGAAAAGTAAAATTTTGAGCCTGTCAGTGGACGCTTTAATGAAACACTTCAAAGACTTCATCACCTAAGAGGTCAGCACCATGCTTGCTGTTTACATTACCTCGTCCAGTCTGAAAATAAGCTACTCACCAGTTTGACTGCTTCCTGTGCTGCATCTTTACTACAAAAGGTAATGAAAGCGTAACCTCTGTTTTGACCAGAGAGGGGGTCCATCATGAGGCGCAGGTCCCAAATGGGACCAGCTTTCTCAAAGAGCGGTACCAATTCATCTTCATACAAGTCTCGGGGAATCTTACCAACAAAAACCTAAAAAGGAAGAGAATGCTTAAACAAAGCTTTTTCAGAAATCCAAACTTAATTTTAACACTTGAAAGCTCCTAGGAAAGGAAGTACATTGCACCATAAACTGTCACAGCACAAACACTGTAGCCATCACTGCAGACCACATTATTGTATGTTCTCCTGAGGCTTCTAAACCTCCTGCTGCTGGTAACAGGTTTTACAGACGGAAAACCTGGGTTTGTTATTTATGTTGAAGAGGTGGTAAACTTCTACCACTGAAGAGGTAAATGGTTCTTACCTGGTTATAGTTTTGGCAATTAAAACCAACGCCCTTACAGACTATCTGGTTGGGTATCCTATATTAAAGCACACCAAGCACTTCCTTGCTCTTGCAGTATTTTCAAATAATTCTGTAACTCAACCTTCATTAGAAACCTACATAGACAGAAAAAATCTACAAAGTTACGTAAATTGCCTGATGCACATTTTCCAGTTTTAATACACACTGTCGTCTTATTTCTAGTCTGTATCTGCTTGAGCTTCCACCAACTGAATGTGTTAATATTTGCCCAAGTCCTCTTGGTTTTGTTGCTTACCTAGAGCGATGACAATAACATTTGGTAAGGTGTTGTCAAGGCATTTAATCTCTTCAGCTGAGGTCTGTCTAGAAAGTCCCCCCCCATTGTTTAATCACTGCAGCTCTCCTCTGAATTCTCAAAATTTCTGAATTTGAATGTTTTGCTTGTATTAGCAAACACTTATTAAGAGTAAATTCTATTTCTTTTAACTTCAAATATTTTTTGTAGTAAAACAAAGCTAGGAGTTATCTACCTCTTCCATTGAGGCAAGGCCTTGCCATAGTCCTATCTGGCACTGAAGACTTAAGCAGGAAACTCCAAAATGGAAGACACTCAGAATGCCCACGTAAGCATGGAGATGAATAAACCCATGAGGAAAGCCTGATGACTCTGATTTTAAAAATGTGGAACACAATTTTTTTTCCTCCAAAGGAAAGCTACAACATTTAGATGTTTCTTTATGTCATACAGATATTCCCGAAATTCAGTTTCCAGAACATTTCTTTCACTTAGCTTAGCCTCTCTGAGTTCAGTGTGAACGCCAGCTGGTCATGATTTATTTGCTATTGAGGGGAAAAAAAAAAAGGAGCAGATTTATCATACTGAGTGAAAATTTAAAGGCAGAGCCAGCAGGCTTTCCCCGTCTCCCCGAAAAGCTTAGAAATCCCTACAGATAGGTATTTCCATTGTCATTACACCTAGAACATTTAATTCCAAAACCCATGCAGAGTTTTAAAGACAAAAACTGATACCATCATAGAAATGCGTATGAACTCCAACTTGCTACTAAGACAGCGAAACTGTCAACTGAACTCTCTGCAAACTGTAACTGGTTTAAGTCAGCCAAAAAGTCCACATTATACTCTTTGTTTCAGACGCTACCGTCTCCAGCAGACACTGAAGGTGGCACACCTGAACAGACATCAGAATAAGAAAAAACCCTAATCCAAATACAAAGAAGGTCTACTTTTCCAGCTATTTACCAAAGATTTACCATCCTGAAAGCTGCTGTTTCCTCCTTTCTTTCCAGTCTCTTCATCTTTCTACAAACTTTAGACCACCACCAATTCCTTAAGACTGCCACCACAGTTCAGTTGAGGTAATACACTCTAGGAGCTAGTATGAGAAACAGAATCAAGGATTTAATTTGAATACATTCACATTTGACCTGTATTCTAGAGTAACTTCCATTTATACTGGAAGGTCTAGATAACTCTGTGGGAGTAATTCACACCTAAGTGGATTTGCTTTGAGCCTGTAAACTTAACATATTGATGAACCAGAAGATCAATGCTAGACATGACAAACTCCAGGGGAACATCTTGCACGGGTCAAAAGAAACATCTGCAGTAACTTTTTTTAGATGTGTAGATGAGCTTGAATAAAGTTGCTGAAATACCAAAGAAAGTAAGTATCAGATGTCTTGTTTCATTTTTCAGCTCCACAACAGGAGTACTGTGCAAAATCTTTGGAAATTGGCGTTAACAGTGAAACAATGCAAGAGATCCTGTCTAAGGATGCAACTGAATCACTTCTGGGCCTTTGCTGGAATCACTGACCATTAGACTTACTTCTTCCAGTTTTGCTTCCTAAAGGACCTGTATGAAGTACTCCGCTTTACCTCTTATTACCGTTTTAGACAATTTATTATGAAAAATCATAACTAGCAAAAAATTAATTTCCGTTTCCTGAATTTTACAGAGCATTACTGAGGGGTGCAATCCACTTCTGCACTCTAGATGATGCATCCTTCAGTTACTTCAACAACTGAGCCTCTTCTGTGTCATCATAAGTTATCAGAAGCGTACTGCAGCACTGCGAGAGCTTCAAAACCCCTCTCCTTTTAACAGTGCTCTTCATGTGCTTCGCAGTCAATTTTCCCTAAATGCCAGATTTAAGTGCTAATTAACATAGGCCATGTGACTGCTTCATCGCATCCAAATCTACAATCTTCATTAAAAACAAACCAAAACAAAAGGATGTGGAAAAAAATTCTGGCACAGTGCAAAAACCTTTGAACCCCCCCCCCCAGTTCTTCCAGTACAAAAGCAACATTCCAACTGCATATTAAATCCAGGACAAGCTTTGTCTAGTTCAACTCCTGCTGAGTTTATTAGACCATTGCTTCTTAAGTTACAGTTATTACAGTATCTGATTCTTCCCATTAAACTTATTGTGGACAAAAGTAGTTTTAAATTGCCCCAATGTCTCCAGTAACATAACGTTTTCCAGATTGCAAGTTGGCCTCACAACCCTTCTCTGAGTTTTTTTACAATAATGTGACTCTGACCACGCACCCACTGAGAAGCAGATGCAATACCAACTTAAAAGTTCACAGAGCTAAAAGTAATTTTATATTTTTGATAACGACATTCAAAGATTACGTTAATACTTATCCAATACATTTCAGCTCTGAAAAAGACATAGCAATTCCTTCATTTTATAAAGACTAAACCATCACATAGATATCTAAGCTTACACATCACCTTAGCACATTATGGGCAAATAATCTATTTACAGAATTTTCAAATTTTTATTTCACATCACTGAAAAACACTGAAATAGAAGTCTCTCAAAACTTCAGGAGTCGAACTTACTTTATCTGGAGACCCCTCAATAAAACTGAAACCAATCCAGCCATCAGTACAGACTCTCTTCCTGCTAGCTGCACCATGCTCATTTTGAAAAGTGCTTTCCCCACTCCCTGCTATAGCGGGGTAAAGCACTGGTGCTTTACAGTTACCAGTGAAGCCTCCTGCTCTTCAAATCATGTCTTAAAGGGCGTTATATTCATTTACACGAAAAGGTGAAGGATGGAAATCAAGCACACCAGCCACCTCCTTAACTTCTGCTGTAACCTTAGTCTGGACAGGCCAATAGGCACGTCAGGGGTTTTTTTACCATCCTCTAAAGAAAAACAAGACCAACAAAATATATATACAAAAATAACGATCCTTCTGATTTCCTGACTTTGACCGAAAGCTCCTCAGTTAGCAGACTGAAGATCAAGAGTGAAAAATCTGTATTTCATCCTGTTTAGCAAATGCAGATCAACCTCATTAGATATTACCCACAAATGCAGACACTATAGATACGACGTTGGATTCACCATCCAGCATTATCCAACCGAAACACTGCATGCTTGTCTTGTTTACATGAAAGCTTCATCCCCCCTGACTAGTAGTAGACCTATGACTAAAATTCCTTTTATTCCTTGTACACTTAAACTTCTCCTTTCTGTGACTGAATTTAATGAAATATTCATAACATTTTCTTTCCTTGTCTTGTCTGCACTTAATTTCAAAAGTTACTGAAATTGCTCTGTAATGTGAACGCATCCTCCAACGTTGCTGAACAACTGGTTTATTTTGAACCACAATAAGACAGCTTGAAGCAGTTTTGTGTGGGGAAAAAAAAAAAAAAAAAGGAATTTAAGAGTAACAAAAAATTTTTTTTTCCAGCATTGCTTGTGTATATACTTTAGTTAAATGATACACTCAATTGGCACAGAGCAAGCACACCTCAGCAGAGCTTGAGAAGTTATGCAAATCATCAGTTACTATCTTTCAGTTCAAGGACCCACTCGAATTATTTCCCCCTGCCAAGGAATTTATTTTTCTTCATGGAATATGAATATTCCCTTTAGAAAACATCCTTACTGGGACACTTCTAGGCATCTTCTTGACAGTATACACAAAAGCTTCAGAATCTCAAAGGATGCAAAACTAATTACACACTGAAAGAGGTTCAAGAAGTCTACCATTTCCTTAAATCTAATCTGGAGGGTAACAGAAGACTCTCCAAAAGAACTCTTGTATCAAAGACTAGTCCCAGCAGTGTGACTGAGAGCATTCAAAGTGCTTAGAATAAACTACAAAACAACCTGCTAGGGACCGAAACCTTGCAGAATAGATAAGCGAGGGAATGCATAGCTTCAGCATTTTTGAAACTAAACTGAAGTTTGCTAGTTTGCTCATAGCTTGATAGCAAGATGGACAGTTTCGATCTTGATCTTGAATTTCCAAATATGCTTACTGACTAGACTTCATCCTTTGGAAAAAAAAAAAAAATTGATTTGTATATATATATATATATATACACACAAATCAATCTTTAAAACTCTTCCAACCATCTTCAAGAATAGCTGCTGTAACAGGAGGTAAGAAAAGGCAGAGAAAAGACACCTTAGACATTTTAAGCAAAAGAAAGGAGCACTGTAAAAGCTCCTTGAGGATAATCGGTTATCAATGTTTGCAGATGCAAAGGACAAAACCCGTGTAAGGAGAGAAGGAAACACCCAAATAATTGCCTCCTTTCTCATCCAATAAACACTCCCATACACTTCTCCAAGTGCCAACATCACGTGACCCAACTATAAGCAAAATGCTTTACACTGGAGCAGCAAGTCTTTAAGTTTAATCTCAAATCCTACTGCTGTTTTCTCCTCCTCCAGGCTTCCGCACAGCTGTAACTACTTTACTTGTATTACAGAGTCACACCCCAAAAAGGTCTCACTGCTCTTGAAGCCCACCCACTTGAAAAAATACATTGGGCAGCTCCACCCGCATAATCCTTTCAGCAAAGTGTTCACTGGGACAATTTGTGAGTGTTCAAACATGCTGAACATCCACAAGGTTATTTATCAATATAGTTGATAGTTTTACTGCACAGTGTTCAAGGACCTATTGAAAGAGAGCGAAAGCTACAGTTAACATATAATGAATTCTACTTTATGCTTTAAAAAGACAAATCAGTTGATGTACAAATATTTACAGTAGAAAGAACTGATATATCTTGCGGGGGGGGACACACACACGACACACACGACATCTACCTAGTACATATCTTCTTGAAATCAGTAATGGTACTTGGGTATCCCTAAAAAACAGAAGTTTACCATTACTGACATCAGTGACAGCTCTGGCATCACCATATCTCAGCTGGCACAAGCCATGAGCGCTTCAATACTATTTAAGTAAGTTTCAAGGACAAAAGATTCACTGCCGCAATCCAAAGGGATAAATCTTGTGGGTTTGGGTTTTTATTATTTTTACCCACAACATTAGAAAAGAGGCATTTACACTCCTATACAACCAGAGCTGTTGAGAAGAAAAGTGGTTCTCAAAAGCTTAAGAAATAAACCAAACCAAAACCCACCCACCTCATCCTGGGAAAAAAAAAAAAAAAAAAAAAACCAACCCAAAACCCCCCCCCCCCAACCCGGGAAAAAAAAAAAAAAAAAAAAAGTGCCACAACAATCTCCAGACTTGTGTTCAAACATGCTCTGCCTAGCCTACCAAACGGCAAGGCCATGCTTCAGGTGTCGATTACTGTGCCTCCGAGCTCAACAGCAAGACGTAAACACTAAATTAAATAAAGCATACACCAGTATCAGCAAGGCATTCGGCATCTCAGCCAGTCCAACCAAGCAGCATGTCTGAAGCAGTAATCAGTCTTTAAATCCTACAAAATGCCAGCAACAAATTAATTTGGTAGAGGTATGGTTTCCGTAACTAGTTGGCTGGGTTTCACTACAGCCTCTAATGCTAATTCATGGCAGAAGCATTTATGTTCTCATCTTCAGTGGGTTTCCACAAATTACCTGTTCTAGCAAGCGTCAGGAAACTTAAAAGTATAAAAAGATACTCTTAATAGTATTAAAGCACAGCTAACCTTACGGCTTTCCTGTGACTTCCTAATGAGGCTATCCGTGACCCACAGGACAAAATACTTAAGATCCGTTGGGTACCGTCAGTCATGAACAGCACAGAGTAGTTCCACTGGAAGGGACCTCCAAGGATCACCTCGTCTGACTGCCTGACCACTTCAGGGCTGACCAAAAGCACGTTACTAAGGGCACTGTCCAAATGCCTCTCCAACACTGCCAGGCTCGGGGCATCGACCACCTCTCTAGGAAGCCTGTTCCAGGGTTTGGCCACCCTCGGTAACGAAACGCTGCCTAACGTCAGGGAGGCAGGGTGCAATTCAACAGCACTTTATACCATCCCACTATCACCCTGGCAACACTGCGGCGGTGGTAAACAACTTCTAAGCCACCTTCCTGAAGGGAGACATGCAAAAATTTACAAAAGCAGCTACATGGGCCCTTTCAGTGTGGTAGTTTCAGTCATGCAAGCATCAAGGATGTTTTCATGTAGATTGAAACAAAAGCAAATAAACAATTCCTTAATAATTACCAATCTCTGTCATCCTCTTCAAAACTTTGTATGCAAGAATTTATACAATACCCAAGTCTTTTTCACTTTCAGCAGACCACAGGAAACAAACCTTGCTCCTGTCGCTTAAATTCCATTTGTAAACAGCGTCAAATACCTTTGAGTCACACTTTTACCTACCTATACAGCCAATACCTACACTGCGATGGGCCATAAACTTTAGGGTGGACCATGAAGTCCGACAATTTAATGATCTATTTTACATTTTAAGAAATTTTACATAGCCTTTCCTAGTGTATTCCACCTGCTTTCCCCTCCTCAACCTATCACCCTGTCTTTTGCAGAATACTGAGTAAGAAAGGCTAAGGCACACACAGAGGAATGCCTTCCTCTACAATACTTTAAACTTTCACTTGTAATATAGTTTATTTTCAAGAATTTCTTATTTATAAGTTTGCACAAACATACAAGATGACGATCAGATTAGTCTGTATAAACTAACCTCTGTTCCAATACCAGGCTGAACACCAGAATATACAGTATCAGGAGGAGGGCCCCCATATTTCCTCTGTCCTGTAGTTACATCCAAAGTGTAACCAGTCCTCTCTAGCAAAGCCTGCGGGGGGGGAGGGAAAAAAAAAAAGTCACATTAGTTAGGGGGGAGGATAGTGGGTTAAAATACATTTTAAAAGCGTCTTAAGATAAGCATTTCCTTATTTGCTCCTTGCCACGTTTGATAATGTGGCCAGACAGAACCTACAAAACAGCCTGTTAGTTTGGGGGTTTCAAACACCACCACCACAGACAACCACATTTGTTTTGTACTACAAGGTCCCTGGAAAGAACTTGTTTTTCTTTTCCCTTATTTTCCGTTTTACACATTGTACCCCAAGAACTCCAGAACACCAGGCAATCCTTTTCACCCGCTCTGTACTTGGGTTTTTGCACAACAGAAGAGTTTCTTATCATACTAATACCTTCTTGAAACGTCCAATCAGTCTCAAAGTAACTTTATGACTGCATAAAAGCTTTAATATATAAGTACAACTAAGACAATCCTTAAATGGATACCAGTGTTTTCACAGACCTTACACAGCATTATGTTCACCCAGTTTGGCAACTGTGTGATCAGGAAGACCTGCCTTTCAAGGAAGCACTCTTGCTTTTGAATCCCTATCGTGCACACATTTCTTTAAAGCCAAGTGTGAATATACTTATCCAGGTAGTACTGATGCTTTTTAAGTACATCCAGAACTACTTCAGTCTGCCTACAGGTAATATATCAGGTAGTACAGAATAATCAGTATTTTCTAAACGTTACCTTAATCTTTGCTTCATCTGGTCCCTTCGTTGATTCCTGTACTTTGCTGCCTTGTTTCTCTCTTTGCCTGTAGGTCTTCATAACTCCACATAAAAATGCACTTTTGTTCTGTAGATACAATTTACAAAATAATTCAATTGTGTGTATGACAAGCCCTGGGAATCCACTGCATCTTACACTCCATACCGTCAGGTCACTACATCAAGCCAATGCAATAAACAAAATGTCAAAAGAATCCTTCAGAAAAACATAACAATTAATGGAACAAACTTGTCACTGAAAAACTGTTACATTCCAGGTAGTATTTTTACCTTATTTTCTCAAATGCACGTTCATTTTTATTATCTGGGAGCTTTTGCTTTGCACTCAAACACCTACACATTTAAGGCAATTTTTAACAGGCTTGTGATTTGGGTTTGAAATACAAGAATACAGCAACATCAATGAGTTTCTAAGTTACAACTCGCCTGCCAATAGTGCCAAAACACTATTTACACTTATGTGCTCACACTCCTGGAGCTCTCACCTTACCTGTACATGCGACAGGTCACTTTCTTTAAACTGCTGTAATACAGAGAGGGCTCCTTCTTCATTAAATTCCCTAAGAGCATCAATTGCTCTTTCATCAAGATCGACATAAGCTACCAACCCTAAAAGTTAAAGATAAAGAAGTTACAGATTTCTATTGAGTTTCATACAAACTAAGAACTATGCAGTTTGCTTTTAAAGTCAAAAAGTTACGTTCCATAGCAACAGAATTATACATTTAATATAATTACATATTCCTACACAAGTATATGAAAGAACATGAGTACAACAATGAAAAAAGTTAAATTAAAATGTATATACCTAAGCACTAACTGACATGTAAGATTATACCTCATGAGTAACAGTTTTCTAACATTCAGGAACCCAATCTGCTGCATAAAAGCAGTATTACACCCCAGAGCCTGAAACAATGAACTCTGGCTCACTTCTAATAATTTGGATATTGTTTCTTTGTCTTTCGGTTTCAGTTTCACACTTCCTTCTCGGGAATGGAGCTGTCCTAGAGTAAGCTGACAGGTGAACGTTACAGGTATCCCACTGCACGTGAAAAAGGAGCTACCTAACTGACGACCAAATACTTATGAAGCTCTACCCCACAAAATATTAGGAAGTAGAAAAAAAAAATCTTTCCTCCAACTTCATAAAGCAAAAAAATCAGTGGGCTGCCTATAGGGCTAAAATAATTATTTTTTTGTTTTTTACTCATTTTGTTGCTCTATGCAGTTCCAAGAGCCAGAATTCAAAAAGCTATTACTTCCAGCCCTGCTATGTACCCGAAAAGGCTAATGTTAATTTTACAGGTACAGACTCCCCCAAGAAACACTGGACCAGTTCTGAAGCACTTTTTCTTTTTAAGGATCTTTACAAGTTATTTCTTTCATTTTGTAATGCACTTGCTTAAGCTGTGGAGCGTAAGTATAGACTTCAGGATTCGCACTTTTTAAACTACACAGCATAATTTAAGACAGATACCAAGAACTCCACACTCTGCAACAGCTTGGTCTCCAAAATACACAGATTATTTAACTGCTACTTGATTTCAAAAATGCACAGTAGTGCCAAGCCCAAGGACTACATTTCAGAAGTGATCCTGCATATTGGAAGGCACCTGTATCTTTCATGTAAGACCTCAGCAGATTAAAAATCCCCAAATTCAAGCCCCAATTTAGGTCAGGTGTCAAAAGTAGTTTGCTTCACTGACAAGCCCCTGCACAATGCGAACATCTTCAGTGGCATTAAGGAAGTGTGAATAAATGTGTTCAGGCTACTCATGCAGTGGAATTAGACTAGGTAGTCAGGTTCTGGGCTGAAAAGCTTTGAAATTCCTTGAGAACTCCTCACAACACAACCTAACTGCAACACATGGTAGAGCCCCACAAGTTCCTCTGCCCAGGCATTACACCTTCTCTCAAACCATCAAGTGCACGTCATCGTGACCCACAGTTAAAGCTCACTGTGGATGACTCCCAAAAGACATCGCCCACGTGAGCCAGTATCATCCTGAAGATTGGTAAGGTATTGGTTTTGAACTGCCTTCACTTGATCAGTGGAACTTTGACTCTTTTCAGCAAAAACTGTCATCTTGCCACCAAGGCATTCAAGATCAGCGCATAGAGCAGTTCTACTGCTTCTTGTCAATCTGTTCACAGAACACACTCTAAAGAGGAAAAGGAAGCCTCTGTCTATAGGACAAAATAATAAGGGGGTTACAAAAACAAAATCGAAAAACCTTTGTATGTAAAGAAACCTCTCTAGAAGTTGCAGAGATCACTTGCTACCAGCAAGGTATTACTCGATTTGCTAGATAGCTTAGTCCTCAGCTTTGTTAGTGTCAAACTGAACGTTTCAGGGTAATATCCAACATGGATTAAACTGTCCACTCAGAACTAGAGAGAACAAAAAATCCACAGGCAGACTCAATTCAAATGTAGTCCCAGGCAAGACAAGCTAGCTGCTTCCCTCACTAAGTCACCTATCCAGCCTTTGAGTGTTTAAGAACCACTGTGAGGAGTTGACAGTAGAAAAGTAAAAGCAAAATGATGATTTGGATTGAAGAAAAAAAAAATGTACAGTTTAGTATGCTCAAACATACATCTTTATTTGACAACGTCTAAGAAACTAGTGCTCTGTGCCCTAAAGCAACTAAGATATCACATACAACACTAAGGATGTGGCAAGTAATTAGTCAATGTCAAACCCAATTTGCCTTTAGGGAAGTCAAAGTAGCAAAACATTCAGAGCTACACAGATCAAAAACAATCAATTTTTAAACCTTAATCTATAAAAATTTGAAAATGGTATGCCCTCACTTTCATAACCAGTCAGAAACAAGAAATGCATATTATACCTGTCTGAAATATTTCATCAAGTCTCTCTGCCACCTTCTGTGGGAGGCCTGCCTCTATCAGTGTCTTGTAGTGTTCTGTGTGAGTTACACTGGAAGTATCCATTGGTTCTTCCTCTTCTTTTAACTGTACCGCATTACCATTCACCTGATTAGCCATTTTATTATGCTGCTGGAAAAAATTCAGGAGCTATATTACAATAAGCCAGAAATAACTAGTTTGTAGGACAATGCATGATTTATCTAAACTAATTTGTATACATGCTGCAAATGACCTGTATCAAAAGTTTTATTTAATACTGTTTGGATGCAGCTGATCTAAGTTTCAAAAGAAAGTACAACCCTTAATACTGTGGAAAATGTACATGGAAGAATTTACATAGTTTTTTAAAAAATGTACTTCATGTACATAACGATGTCTAAACTTTATCTGCGGATTGTCAGTAAGTTAACTGGTTACCATAGCAGCTAGAATGTACGGGGATACGATAATAACATCCTCCAACGAAGAATCAGAAGAGCTAGTGCTATTTTCATTTCCCATTCCTCTACTTTTAAAACAGTTGTTTAAAATGTAGTGAACACATAACCCTGCAGGGTAGCTTAATGTATAAAAATGTCAACACTCGCCGGCTAATTTTCGCTTTCTTGGCTTGTTGCCATGTCTTCCTTCAAATCCAACGTGCTGCACAAGACTAGCCAAACGCTTTCTCACCACACTGTCAGAGTTCAGTCAGGATAGAGAGAGAAATTGCACTCTAATGCACATTATAATTTGAAGCTGCAACTGAACTGTTTCTGTGCTTTCAGTTGTAATCAAACAGAAGCTCTACCAATCACAGCTACTTTTTAAATAACATATAACTTATTGGTTTAAAAGGAAGCCATGACTGCAGCATCTTCAGTTCTCGTATTAATCAAAAGACTTGCTTTCCGAATTAACAAACCAATTCCAAATGTGCGCACTGAAAAATGCACAGCTATCTTCTCAGACAATTCCAGTGGGCTTTGCCCAATTCATTAGAAACAGTTCCAATTTCTCAATTAGCCAGCCCGCTGATATTTAGTACTCAAAAAAAAAAAAAAAAAAAAAAAAAGGCTGACGAGACAATTCAACTACCCAGCAGAGAACATTAGGATGATCAGCTGTTAAGTTCAGAGATGACATGAGCTTCAGGCTTGAGAAGACAGGGAAGGAGTCAATGACCAGCAGTGAAATGACAACCAGAGGGACATATGCAGCATGGCTGGAGCAACGCAATCAAGTACTGGAATACAGGTATGAAGATGATTCAAGAACAGCTTTTTTTAAAACACTGAAGCCTCAAGCTATTCACTGTGCTGCAGAACAAGGCTCAGAACATAACCATGCCTCTACCAGTCGCTTGCATACCCACCCCTTCTAGACTACAGCTCACGAACTTTTCGGAAGGTATCCTATGAAGGCTTGCAAGCTTGAGCAAGGAAAAGAAAAATAATCCTTTTTCTTCAGACAGAAAAGCAATGATTTTACTAAAGCTGTCTTGACTTGAAGGGCAACTTTAGACAGATGCAAGACAGCCTCACATCATTTCTGTCAGATGCCGCTTCTTTATGCAATCAGTGAGAAAAAGAAAGGAAGTTTTCTGTAGCTACACAGCGCATATATAGACATACACACACACATTCTATTATTAACACATAGAAAGCACTCTCTAACCAATTCAGTTTACTTAAAAGCAACTGTGACTATGGCCTAATTACGCAAAAAAACCTGCTACCCGTAGACTACAGTAACGCTTACCCATCATTACAGGTACAAACTGAACTCTCAAAACACTAACTGAATGTGAAGCTTCTCTAGGTTACAAACATCAGGGAAAACAAAAAATCGGCCAGATGTCTGCATGCTAGATAGCCTCTGCAAGATCTCAACTTTGAAACAGGGCAGAGGGGCTTTAGTTAAGACTGAAAATGCTGTGGGTACAGTATCATTTTCAATCCCTCTTCTCAAAAATGCAGAGGATGATACACACCCAAAAGATATACGGAGGGGTTATTGTGTGTTCACCTTTTTAGTGCCTTATAAACTCAGTTACTTACTCATAGAGTCTTCTCTGTAAAAAAAAAAACAAAAACCACCACACCAAGAACTGTGTGGCTAAGCCAATACATAAATACAGAAAAGCTATTTGAAATTATTACAAATACCTTCTAAACTTCAATGGCTTATGGTGATGCTCCCAGACATTTTTTTGGTGAACTCAGATTAGCCTTCAAGTGCCACATACCTCAAGTTTAGCACTGTTCTCAGAGTTGCCTGTACCTGCACAGAAGGTTGACAGCTGTCCTGTGTCCAGGCAGAAACACCTCACCTGCAGCTCAGTAATGCAAACGTTTTGGACAGGTAAGATTTGCAGCCTAACGGCATGAAAAGATATCCACCTTCACCACAAACACACCAGCATGTGGAGCAATACCTAACCCCTAAGCATCACATTACACCACAGCTGATCAAATGCTTTTTTAAGTATGCTTTTAGACAATACAAATTAAGTCCCAGCATTTTAATTCACTAGCTGTATGGTTTTGCTTAAGAATTAGTACCATCACAAAAAACTGGAGTCAAATGCATGTTCACCAGCCAGAAAAGTTCAGTTTGGGTGTTCAAATTTTAGCTGTTTCCTGTCAGACAAACTTAATTTAAAAGACTTTCCTAAATAAATTTACTCTGGAAAATTCTGAAGTGGCATAGCTGTCAAAATATTCAGGTTCCAACAGCATCCAGAAGAGATTTATTCCTTTTCACAGTCATAGTAATAGATTCCCTGCTGGCTTTGCAAGCTTGGCCTGAAATCTGAGAGCAGACTGACTTTTCTTCCCGAATGATCACCAAGCAGGAGAACTACATCTCTTACGATACTGGATCTGCACTCCGAGCTCAGCAGCAATACGTGGTGACAGTCATAGCTGAAAAAGGTTGTTGAGCTCTCCCTCTAGAGAACACCAGCTAGATGCAGCTATCAAAAAAGCTTTTAACTGAATTTTATGAGTAAGGAAAACAAGATGACTTTATTAACATTTTTGTTCTCCTCTAAAAAAAACACTAAAAGCACATGAAAGAAGACGACGAGTGACACCCACGCGTGCCTGCGCAGCATGTCCACGTGACTCGGCCCACGACAGGCCCGGCCACACCACCGAGCACCCGCACGCACTCAAGAGTTTTCCATCTGCATGAAGGAACTCAAATGTCTAGAAAAGAGGGAGACTGGTTGAAAAGTTTTTAAGTGTGGATCATAAATAAAGAATGATGTATATTAGTATGTGTGGGATACGTATTTGTTTTTAAAACATGCAGAAATGGATGAATTCACAACTGCGTACACAAAACGTGCTTACCAAGCGAGCAGCAGTAACACACACCCGGGGGGCACCTGTACACAGGCAGGAAGAATTCCCAGTGGTGCCTGAGAGGTTACCTAGCTTCGCCCCCTCAGTACTGTGCCTATGAGGAAGGGAAGGACTGTCTTGTTTCAAACTTCACACTGTTATTGCCAACAATGTTTTTCCGAAGACCATGAATACTGCATGATATAAAACATGTTTTTAGCCATCCACTATCTTTCACCTAGAATTCACCTCAAAAGAGTAACTTGCAAAGTGACTAGTCCCTTTTTTAAGCTCTGACCATACGACAAATGGGAGGTTAAAACTACAGGTACTTCTAAATTACCCAGAAACAAGCTTCTTTTTCATGTTTAATAACTCGAATGGCTCAAATAGTAATTTTCCTAGGAAAAAAACGCTAACGCACACCTGAGCCCAACAGCATATGGCATCTCGAAAACGGAAACTTGATCCGACAACCTCAATCCGACAACCACAGGCTAAACAGCCATGATGTTACTATTCCTTGTATTTTACACCATGCCTCTAACAGTGGTTGCCACCCACAGACTATCTAAGTATAACTCCATCCAATTAATTATAAATTCACAGTCTAGTTAACTCAAAACATGCTTAGTAACAGCTTAAATGAGGAGGAATGGCAATTTCTGGCAAACAGACAATATCTCAAACCACCATAACCAGCTCCACAGTGATTACACATCAATACTGTTTTCAGCCCTCTGCTGTGTAACTTCTGATGTCATGGAAGAACTGAACTTGTTTAGCTCAGGTGCACAGGAAGCATAACTAATTCATACGTAAAAACTCTGCAATGAAGTAATTCAACTTGCTCACGTCACTGCTCCCTCCATCCAGTATCTTACCTGAGTCACGCATTTAAGTTATAGCACATTAAAAACAGCATTGAGGGGAAGTTTTTTTGGGGTTTTTTTTTGATTTTGTGTTGGTTTTTTAAACGAACCACAAGAAAACAAGCGTAGTCCCTATAGTTATGCCTTACACTTCAAGAAGGTTCTTGTCAAAACAGGAAGATAAGAAACACAGGAGCGAGGGGAAGATAAGAACTTGCATTAAAAGACTGAACTGGGGATTTATTAAAGCTTCACTTGTTCACAAACATCACTGCATATCCCTTTGTTTTTTACATGAAGGCATTACAGCCATTTCTTTTGTACCCTAGCTTACTCAATCACAGAAACTACATTTTAACAGTTTAATTATGATATACTAAGTGTTTATTAGCACGAATTACAAGAAGACTTGTTTCGAAGGTATCACACGCTGAAGACCTTTACACACTAGCCAGGCTTCCACACCAGCTTTCCAGTGGCAAGCTACCTTTATGACAAGGTGTAGTTAGCACCCTCGCCCCTTCAGCACAGAGCTCTCAGCCTGTCCATCACCCCATGGAACAAAAACATCCGAGACTCTCCATCGTGTTGCTAAGCAAGAGACCAGCACAGCCCGTACAGAAACGATGCTTCAGGACCTGCACAAGTGCCACCGGGAGGTGACTTCACCACGACAGGTTAGCAAGATGCACCTCGGTGCCCTTAAAACACACCACTGACTGCATCAGCAGCCGCCGCCTTTCACTAACCTGAGCTAGAGCTCGCTTCTAACCAGCGTTGGCCAGTCATAGCTCATGGGGCTGTTCGGGTCGTACAGACCAACATTCATAGCACTCGAATTCCAAGCAACACTTGAACAAAAATGAGCTTTGTTCTGATGAATTTATCCTCGAAGTATTTTTCAGATCTTTGCCTAAGAAAGC